CTTTTCTTTATGGATCTCCATGTGAAGCCATTTTAATGAAAAAAAAAAAATATGGCAAAGCACAAGGCAAACACATAAATCAATACTTTTTCTCCCGCAGTGACCTTGGGGCTCTCAATGAAATGTGCTCGCGTGTCCCCAAATAATTTGCGAAATGACTTTTTCATGATTTTGATCACTTTCTGAGCTGCTGTCTCCATTTACCCAGGCAATAGCCTCATTTTTATGTGAGAATGCCTCTTGCAGGCGCAACATTAGGAAATCAAACTTTAATCTATATCCTTTGATTATGGGAAAAATATGATTGTAATTCACTTAGAAACCACATCATCTTGGGAGCCTTTAGTTGGAAAGTACAGCTAAGGTGTGGTGTGTAGAAGTTTATATTTATGTCTTTGAGGCTTCACTCAAATCTTGACTCCTTATTTCCCCAGCAATGATGGCTGATGTTTGGCTTTGATTGCTTTAAAAAGTGACTTAGGTTTTTTTTTTCTCTATTTCTAAGGAAGTGGTTTTTCACTGTTTAGAATTTGAAGACAATTGGTGGAATCCAGAAATTCAGCCAATGCCAACTAGAAAGGGAAATCTGAACTTGAGTTTTTAGAGCAATTTGTACAAGACACTGATCACCCCCCCGCCCCCGTTCTGCTTTATATAAAACTAGAGGCCCAGTGCACAGATTTGTGCACCGGTGGGGGCCCTTGGCCTGGCCTGTGCCCTCTCACAATCTGGGACCTCTCAGGGGATGTCAGAGAGCTGGTTTAGCCTGATCCCCTCAGGCCAGGCCGAGGGATCTCACGGGTGCACGATTGGGGCTGGAGAGGGAAAAGGACTGCAAGAGAGCTCCAGGGCGTGTCCAGCCCATCTTGCCCAGTCCCCATAGGCCAGACCCCAGCAGCAAGCGAACCTACCAGGCAGAGTGTCTGCCCCCTGGTGGTCAGTGCGCATCATAGCGACTGGTCAAACAATTAAACAGTCAGGCACTTAGCATATTAGGCTTTTGTTATATAGGTAACTACACATTTATATTGTTTCTACTCATTTGTAACTTTTTAAGCCATCTATGTTTGCCGTGTGAAAAGAAGATTAAATGTAAATTTCTCATTTAACAAAATTAATAATTTATTTAGTTTGAGTTATTCATTAGCTCAAGGGCATGAATGAGTTTAAGTACACTGACTAGGTAACATCTATCAACTACTAAATGCTAAACTTCATTGAGTGATAGAATATTGGATTTTAACCTTGCTGCTAAACTGTTTCAGTTGAAATGATTTCTCTATAGGAGCTGAGTGATAAGGCTTAACAGAGTGGGAATATATTTCTAGTGTTTTCAGAGGAAGTTAAAATACAAGTCTAAATGTTCAAATCATTAAAAACTCTTAAGTAAAGCTCAGAGTAAAAGAAATACATATACTTATTTTTTTCCAGATTCCATTTCCATGTTAGGCTTAAGGTAAAAATTCACTTTTAATATCATAAAGTTGGTTTTCAGAACTTGTGGTAGAAATGAATATGCTTGGGCCCAGGGGTTGAATATATATTAAGGTAATCTGTTTGCATTTTAGCATGAATATTTCAATTGTATATCTTAAAAACTTACAGCTTAGTAAATTTTATTTGCATCTAATTCGACTATAGGATACAGTTCTGGAGGAAACTCCGTAATCGCTTAGGTCTTTCAGGATACTGGATGGATTATTGTCTGTTTACAGCTCTCATTTTAGCAGTTAATCATAGACTGCTTAATTGTTCACTCTAGAGCTGTGTGGTCTCCACAAAGAGATGTTGAAAACTGGAAAGAAAAGTATGACATTGCTATAATATCCAGTGTGTAGGACTTGATTATATGATTAAAAACATCTAACTCACCCTCTTTAGGTCAGCCTCTTTCTGGCTGCCTTTCCCTTGGGCATGGTGTGAATTCTGATGGCTCAGGCAGTCCATGAAATCTGGGAAGGGCCCCTGAGTTCCAGTCCTTGGAGGACATTCCCAGAGGTCTACGTCCAGTCTATCCAGTTGTGGCTGTTTAAAGTCATGGCTGTGAAGTTTTTGGCACGCCCACCACCCAAAGGTAGGGATCATGTGCCCGTCCCTTTTATTTGGGCTGGCTTGTGACTGCTTCTACCAGTGCATAGTAGAAATGACACGAGGTAACATCTGGGGCTGGATTATAAAAGACCAAGTTGCTTCTGCCTCATTCGCTCCTGGAGTCCTGAGCCACAGGCTACAGTGTCTGGCTGCTCTGCCATCGCCATACAGGGAGGTCACAGACCTGCTACATGTCTGTGCCCAGGCACATGTGCACGGAGGCTTCTTGTGCATGAAGCCATCCTGGGACTCTGCAGGGCAGCCGATCTGCCAGCTGAAGACCAGCGTCATCTTTGTCAGCCCTTCATGGAATAGAAGAATCACCGGCTAATCCCCACCCAAATTTCAGACCCGCCAAATCACCAACAAAATGTTTTTTGTCTTAAGTTAACAACATCTTGAAGGTTGGTATATTTGTTATGTAACAAGACATGACTATAACAATATTTTATTAGAAGGCAGCTTCCAAGGGTGGCTCCCACACCCTCAACATCAAATTTGGCCTTGTGGATCTTGGCTCAAACTCCAAAACCCAGGGTGCTCAGTGCTTTACTGGGGCCATGGTGCCAGCCTGCATCCAAGGCCCTCCGCCGACAGAAGACCGCTACGAGCTCCCCAGGAAGGGCCACATTCTTCTCTTACTCTTAAAACAAAACTCACTTCCCCAGTGTGTCTCACAAAATGAGTTGGCTCTTCTCTAGGCAAGGAAGTTCAGAACTCAAGGACCTTAAGACTATCTTGCTTAAAAAGAAAAGAGGACATTTCTCACGTGTCCATGGCAGGAGAAACAACCATCAATAACCAATCAACCCCCCACCCCCATTTACTTTTAATCTATATGTACCTTTATGTTTAAAGTGAGTTTCTTATAGACAACATATAGTTGGGTCTTGTTTTTTGATCCACTCCAATAATCTATCTTAATTGGTCCATTTAGACCACTGATGCTCAAAGTGATTATTGATGTACTTGAATTAGTATCTAGCATATTTGTTACTGTTTTTCATTTGTTTCCTTGTTTTTGTTCCTATTTTTGTTTTCCACACCTTATCTGCTCTTTGCAGTTTTAATTGAACATTTTATATGATTCCATTTTCTCTCCTTAGCTTATCAAATACTTTTTTCTAAAAGTGATTGCCTTAGGTTTGCAATATATACTTACCGTTAACCCCAAGTTCACTTTTAAAAAAATATATTTTTATTGACTTCAGAGAGGAAGGGAGGAGAGAGAGAGAAACATCAATGATGAGAGAGAATCATTGATTGGCTGCCTCCTGCACACCCCACACTGAGGATTGAGCCCATAAACTGAGCATGTGCCCCAAACAGGAACTGAACCGTGACCTCCTGGCTCATAGGTCAACATTCAACCACTGAGCTACATCGGCCAGGCCCAAGTTCACTTTTTAATACCACTACATTTCACCGGTTGTGTGAGTACCTTATAATAACAAAATAATCCTAATTCCCCACTCTAGTTCCTTATATCATTGTGTCATTTATTTCATTTATATGTAAACATACATAGGCATAGGAATATACATAAGCATATGTAAATACATTGTTGCTATTACTATTTTGAACAAACTGTTATATGTTAGCTCAATTAAGAAAAAGGAAAAAAACTTTTTTATTTTATCTACACTTATTCTTTCTCTGATGCTCTTTCTTTACGTAGGTCTGAGTTTCTGTCTTAGATTATTTTCCTTCTGTCTGTAGAACTTCTTTTCATATTCCTTGCAAAGCTGGTTTGCCAGCAACACATTTCCTCAGTATTTGTTTGTTTGAGAACCTCTTTATTTCCCTTTCACTTTTGAAGGATAATTTCGCAGGGTAGAGAATTCTAGTTTGGTGGTTTTCTTTTGCTCTCAACAGTTTACAACAGGGGTCCTCAAACTACGGCCCGCGGGCCACATGCAAATACAAATATTGTATTTGTTCCCATTTTGTTTTTTTACTTCAAAATAAGATATGTGCAGTGTGCATAGGAATTTGTTCATAGTTTTTTTTTAAACTATAGTCCGGCCCTCCAACGGTCTGAGGGACAGTGAACTGGCACCCTGTTTAAAAAGTTTGAGGACCCCTGGTTTAGAAATTGCCTTTTCACTCTCTTCTTACTTCATGGTTTCTGAAAAGTCAGATGTAATTATTATCTTTGTTCCTCTATAAGTAAGGTGTTTTTCCCCCCTTGGCTGCTTGCAGGAGTTTATCTGCAATGATTTTCTGTACTTTGAAAATGACATGCTGTGGTGTGGACTTTTAATTTTATTTTTTGCATTTATCCTGCTCGATGCTCTGTAAGCTTCCTCAGAAAAATTAATGTTAAATGAGGTAAGAGCCCTTTGAGGCTGGTGCTATTATTGCTCGCTCCCACGTAAGCTTGATTGGTGAGCTTGAGGCAGTGAGAGGGTGAGTCACGTGGCCAGTATGTGGCAGAGCAAGGTTTGCACTCAGGCAATTTTATTTCTGTTTTAAAGGCTCTATGGTTTATGTAGACTTTATCTCAAGACACCTCACATTATTTTGAAAGTGTTGTAGTGTGCCTTAACAAATGAAAACAAAAGGCTGGCTTAACCTTAGTTAACTCAAATAATATTTATATTCCTAAAATACTTTTTCCTTCTCTGCTACTCCTGGTTACTCCATTTCTGCTTTCTTTGTAGCCATTCTTTGAAAATTCCTCTGACTTTTAAGTAAGCTTTTATATTCTTTTGTGTTGCTGATTGTCTTATATTTTTCCCCTTTTCTGTCTATTTTATTTTATGATTATTATTTCAAATTTTAGAAGTCAAAATATGGCCAGGATGCCTTCACGACAATGGTTTGAACGAGCTGGCTTGATTCGCCTTTTTGATCTGTGTTCTCTCTTCATCTGAGCATAGCTTCTGGGAGGTGCAAGGACCTGAGTCATTCATTTGGATTATTGTTGCGTCATCAGGCGAGCGCCTGACAGGGATTTAAGATATCTGGAATCTAACCTCCGCTGGCTGTCTTTATTGTGGGGCTACATTTTGACTATGGTTTAAAGGTAATCCCTTAATTTCATGTTCTTTGTATCTTTTCCTCTCTAAAATGGTAGCAATGATCTTTCATCTCTCCTCCCCACTAGGATATTACGAAGATGAATTATTATGAAAACAAAATGAAATTATCAGTCTCTCCAGAGATGTTTGCTCTGTAAATACAAAAAACAAAACAAAACAACACAACCCTGACTCTCATGAACTCTGTGGTCTTCATAGCTGTGCCTGGAGGGTAGGTAAGTAAGTAATTTCTCAATGAATGAGGTGTTTTGAAATTCCTTCCAGAGAAGTCTAACATTTATTTTAAATTCATTTGGAGGCTGAGGAAGCCTGGAATCATTCCAGCTGGTTCTTGCTCTGCAGGTAAATATTTCTATGAATTAACAAATTGTTTTAGGCTGGTTATTCACAGATTTGGCAGTTATGCTGCATTGTTCTTGAGTTACCTTTATCTTATATCTTTGGAACCCCTGTAATATTGTAGGTCCCAATGCTTAATCTGAGTCAGAACATGTCCTTTAGTCATATGCAGAATACTAAACTGGGAGAAACAATCTACCTGTTCAGAAAGGACACAGAGTGTGAACTTGGTAAGATGTTTAGAGGTAGGTGTTTCCAGATTGGTTGGTGACAATGTTGTGGGGGTCCCTTGCTCTTCCTTTCTTTCCTCTCCAACATTGGTAGCATGTTTAGGTCTTGTCTTTAGTTTTACTGCTTTGTGGTCACCAAATGATGGCCACATCTTCAGATAGCAAGTCTTACTTGGCCTCGTACGAGTGTAGAGGTAAAGGTCTGCCAAGATGGCAAGAGAAAAGAACATGCCTTTCACTTTCACCTAGGAACAAAAATCTTTCTCAGACCCCCCCCTCCACACCTGTCATCTGTTGGGGTAGGAGGGGGTGTCATGGCTTCTTTGAGCTGCGAGGTGACAGGACAAGGATGCACCTTGCTTTTTCAGCATCCGCACTGAGAGGCAGGTGGTCAAGGTGTTGTCATAATTACAATATAGCCAAAGTATTGAGTGATTTTGTAGGCACTGGCTATGTGGTTTATAATTATTATTTCAATTGGTCTTCAATGGAATCCTATTGGGAGGATATTCTCACCGTCTTTTTAAGGGAACAGGACAGAGAGGTCAGGCAGTTCGCTCTGGGTCACACAGCCAATGAGCTACAGAGACAGGATTTGTTCTTTTTGACTTTGAAACGTGTATTCTGAAGTTTGTTGAATGAACTCTTACAGTACAAGAACACTCTTCTTAACTCTTAGTGTGTTTGTCCACATGCTTTTAAAAAAATCAATAATTAAGCAACCAGTTTTAACTTTTGGAAACAGGAAGTAAGATGGCTCTTGTAGAATGAGGAAACAGAAAATGCTGGTATTCTGCGTCCCTTTTGATGATGAAACTTCAGTGGTTTGGATTTGCTCTGGAAGGTTTTCCTTGAGAAAGTCTTGGCTCTTGGGTTTTCTACGCTGTTGGCAATGCAAAGACTCCTTCCTGTGAAAATGAACTTCCCCTTGTCCTGGGGAGCAAATAAAGAATTATCTCACTGCTTGACAGCATTTCAATCATTGTTTTTTTTTTAAGTTGCAGATCTCTACATGAAAAAGGAGGGTGGGAATATTAATGGGTAAATTATTAAGGTAAAATGGGCATGTTTCTTAGTTGTTTCTTGCCTAGAAGACCTTTTCCAAGAGTTGTAGGGCTTCCCACGCAATCTTTGCGTATTTGTCTTCCTCCAGCTACTGTCAGAGGCCGTTTTTATTGTCTTTCTCAGTCATTCAGTGAATGAATTTGGAGAGATCAGTTACCTACTCAACCACCAACTCTTCATTCATTCTCCTTTCCCATAGAAAAACCATGTTGTTGGGATTGACCTCACCCAACATCCAAGGTTGGATCCCGATTGGTTTCAAACAGTAAGTGCTTACTATTGTTTCCAAAAATATTCATAATTGCAGAGTCCTAACCTTGCGTATCTTCCCTGAGATCTCATAGAAAACCTTACCTGCACTCTAGCACAGAAATTTAAAACATGATCCACCAAAAGGAGCAATTTTCAGCCCCCTGCTCCCACAATCAGCACTTACAGCTGGAATTTCTCCTAATCCTATCTAATAAAAGACAAAAAGGGTAATTGACTGTACCTTCGCTACGCTTCCCATTGGCTAATCAGTGCCATATGCAAATTAGCCACCATCAAAGATGGCGGCTAATTTGCATACTGCAGGCAGGCAAGTTCCCCACAGGCAGTACCCAGCAGGGCCTGCCCCCGGTCTCTGCAGTGATCCGGTGATCCATGAGCAGGAAAGCACAGCCTGCAGGCAACACCCCACCCTGGCCACAGCTCAAGGGAGAAAAAAACACGCAGTGGAGGCCAGGAGCCTGAGAGATCAACACAGAGGGGTGCCTGCTCCAAGCCTCCACGGTGTGGCTGGGGGCAGGCCCCCAGCAGACACACACACACTCACACACACACACACACAGGACGCCTGCTCCGAGCCTCTGCTGCCAGACTGTGGCCGTCAGTAGGACAACCACTGAGGGCTCCCGGACTGAGGGGCAGGCTGGGCTGAGGGAACCCCTCCCCCAGTGCACGAATTTCGTGCACCAGGCCTCTAGTATGGAATAAATCCCCATTTGTTTAGTGCTCCCTTTCTCTTTTAGTCAGTTTATGAATGAGTGGCTCTCTTCTTCCTTTGCTTGGTTCTCTGGAACTGGCCTGCTGGATTCAGCACGTGGTTTTGTTATGGTGCAAACCTGAGTCAGCCCGATAAAGACCAGCAGTTATCTCTTCTTGGATGTTGAGTAAATGAGGAAGCTTGTAGCCCTAGACACTCCTGGAAGCCATCTCCAGGGCAAGAGGAATCTAGCATAATATACACTTGCATTTATATTCTGCTTAAAACTATCTGTAGACAAGAAGATGGAAAGATATACAAAATAAAAACAATTGTTAATTGCTCAGCTATGAGGATAATTTTTCTTAAACATTTATAAAAATTCTATAATTTTGCTTATTCAGTATTCTTATACCAAACCAACAAACATAAGAAGTTGGTTTTTATGTTTGTTTTTTTTCTTCTCCTTTTCTGCTGGAGACAGATAAAGTAAAAGGAGGTTAATGTTTGTTGTGAAGGTAACAATTTACAATGGAATCCTCCAGGGTCAGAGGCAAGGATCCAAAAATAAATAAAATAATAACATTTTAAGTTTATTTAGTGGAGCAAGCAAGTATGCCATACCTCCCACTCCTTTTTAAAACCACTGTTGCTGTTTGTTGAATTTATGTTTGCAATTTGATATGAGCCATATTAATAAAGGAATAGTTTTTAAAAAGAGGAACCACACACAAGAGAAAAACCTCAGCCAATTTTTGGAACAAACCTAATTACATATTCATGGAAATCCCAAGAAGAAGTAGCTCACGGTGTCCTGCACCATGCAGCTTACTGACTGGAACCCTTCTGAGAGAATTATTTGGTTTGTTTTAATATATAGGATGTCCACCCCCCCAAAATGTATACACACACTTTGAATAATTGTAAAGGCAGTGCTTATTAAAATACATTTCTTTTCAAAATTGAGCTATTAGCTACTAAAGTGTGTATACATTTCTTTTGCACATCCTGCATTTTCATTCCTTGGATTTATGCAGGTTCATTTTTTAGGTGCAGGGATGCGTGACCTTCACTGCCTTCTGTTGTCGGGAAACCCTTAAAATCTGAGTTGACAGGGTCGGCACTTTATCCTTATTGTTTGTCCCAGTCATTTAATTGTGTGATTGATGCTGGTGTATTACAGCAATTCCTAATGGATACCGGCTTTTATCTTAGGATGCAGATTTTCAAATCAAGAACAGCCTAGGGTTATTGGACAAAAAAGGTCAACAGCAAACCCAATTTCAAATAATAACCTTGAAACATTGCTGTCATATGGAATGACAGGATAAGATACATTTTATTTTAGCTTCTTTGACAATTTATGAAAATTAACATCAATATTTTAAAAACTAGCTTAAACATAAGAATAAGAGTTTTACAGATATGAGAAAATTACATTTACCTACATATATGAGCTTTTATCATATATATTTACTGCTATGTTGTTTATTATCTTTGTCAGTTTTTTATTATTACTACAAAATAATCTTTTGTATGAAATGTCCTATTAACTTTTATTAATATTGCTATTCCTATATGTTTTTCCTCTTATTTACCTGATAAATTACTGCCCATCCCTTTATTGTCAACCCATGTATATAGTTCCCATTTCAACATTTCCACCGCTTCCACCACACAGAACTTAGAATTATGCTGATCTGGTTCCTGACTCCCCCTTGACCGTACTTGCTCCAGAGCAAGCAGGGGGTTGTACTGTCAGCACAGAAGGAATCGTTTAGCCTCACGTGATGGAAAACACTGAGGCTCCCGAATCCCACGATTTTCTGTGCTTCAGTGATGCACTTACGTGTCAGGCTATAAGAAGACCTCAGTAAGTGTGTATTCTTTCCAGTTGAATCCTTTGCAATGCTTGGTGCTGCTAAAGAGAAAGAAGATTCTGTCTGATCACGTGACACAGAAACTTCATTCTGAATCAACGTGTGGGGCGGACCAGGGCGGGTGCAGATCCAGGTCCACCCACACTAGTCCTACTTGCTTCTAGCTCTGTGATGATGGCCTCCAGAAATGAGCAGAGCTCCCTGGTCCTGCAAATCCTTCTGAACAGCTCCCTTTGTGCCCAGAATGCACCAGATAGGATGTTCTCTATCAGCAAACAGTCCATGTCCTTGAGGAAGGAGCTGGAAGTTCCAACATAACACTCTTTATCTCTAACACAAATTCCTGAGGCTGGGACTTGAAGACAGTGGCAAGTGTTTGGTTAATTTAATATTAGGTAATGAATTGGAAGGGCCTTTCCTGGTCCCACCCAAGGGTCCACCCCCTCTGGTTGGACTGGTTGCCACCCTCTCATCTGTCATCTTGCTCAACTGACACCTACACAAAGCCTTTCTTTCTACTCCCGGGCAGTGCCAATGGCTTCCTCTTCTGAGTCCCCCAGGCCTTTGTGTGTGCTATATTTAGAACTAAACACATTGTTCTGTGATGACTTGCTTAGATATCTGCCTCCCCCAGGAGGTGATGAGTTCCTCAGAGCCAGGGACTATGTCCTCATCATTTCTATACACCCATCTCCTTCTGCAGAATAAGTCTTTGAGTCTGTTTTCAAATCTCTGAATTCCTCCCTGAGGTCCCCATTGTCATCGGCATAAAACTCCTGTCTTCACTCTGCTTAGCACCTCAACACCATCAGAGTGGACATCCCAGCTCCCCTGAGCGCATTGGGCGCTCACTCCCCTCTCTTTATCCATAATATCCCCTCTGGTGGAAGGTATCTTCCCAAACATCCCTGCTCTGGGCTAAGTAACTCTTCCTCTTTCTCAAGATCAGTTAGGAATGCACCCTGGGTGTTCCTATAACATTCTGTGCTTTTCCCAACACGTGATTTTACACATGCTATTGTGATCTCCTGCCTGGTGTCTACTTTACCCCCTAGAGTGAAAGATCCTTGAGCCCATGCTCAGTAAATATTTGCGGATTATATTCCTTACCAAGTTTGTGTAATGTATCATGGAACTTTGTAATAAAATAGAACAAGTGAGCAATCAGTAAAAAACTTGAATTCTTATCTAGGTTCTGCTACTTATAGCGGGGAGGAAAATAAACTAATAAAAGCTTGCCCAATTGTAAGAGTGCTTTAGCAAAAAGTAGACATAAGCAAAGAAAAACAGCCCCTGCCAGGAAGTAGGACCAAAGGACAAGGACAGGGAGGAAACAGACAAGTCAGCTTAGCAGCACCTGGGGCCAGTGAGGTCCAGTAGAAAGGGAACAGCAACTCTTTATTTTAGATAATTTATTTGTTGATTGATTTGAGAGAGAGAGAGAGAGAGAGAGAGAGAGGAAATTGATTTGTTGTTCCACTTATTTATGCATTTATTGGCTGCTTTTTGTATGTGCCCTGATTGGGGATCAAACCCACAACCTTGGCGTATCCAGATGACACTGTAAACAACTGAGCTACTTGGCCAGGGCTGTAACAGCAACTCAATGGCCTGACAATGCAATGCCCAGGTGGAGTGGCACCAAGACTGTCCAAGGGATAAAGGGAAAGAACCAGTTGTTGGTTTTGTATAAAAATAGGCCATTGAGCCTGAGGTTTATTTATTGGTGTGCATATCTGTCGCATTCCCCTGGTGGAGCCGCTGGGACAAATCTGTTAGCCATGGGGCCTTGCTGCATGGTGGGGACCTGGCGGAGCTCATGCTTCTGCCAGGCCGGTGACATGATCGAAATGTGACAGCTGCTTGGGCGGCTTGCCCTGGGTGTTGTCAACATGGACCACCTGAGTGAGAGCTGGCAGGTTCTACAAAGCATGGGCCTGAGCATCTTTCTGGGTAAAAATGAGGATGTAGACTTACATTATAAATCTTAGACAATAATTAGCCTTGCAAATTTCATATATATATTTGTTTATTCTTTCTGTCCATGGCCACTCATGGCATTGACTATCGTTCTAGGGGGACAGATATGTGTCTTGTGTCCTCTGTACCACTACTGGGCTATTGTCCCAGCTGTTACACACAGTGGCTGTTGTAAAATGTAACTCACTCCAATACACGTAGAGCCATTTCTCTTTAAATCTCTCGCTCTAGTGGGTGAGACCCATCGAGCCTGTGTTTGCACAGCTTTCTTCCTTTTTAGCGTATTCATTGAACAGTTTTCTGTCCCTCACCTGCATCAGCACCCAGCACCGAGGACAGGGAGTCAAAGTAGAATGCTGCCTGAACACAGGAAAGAGTGAGGGGTCTCGCTCACAGAATGATGATTAAGGGGGACTTATTGCAGTTGAGGGGGATCA